GACCGTTGCATTATAACGCCCCAACGGCTGAAAGGGCGAGTATGTTTGGTGTGACGGGGATTCGAACCCGCAACCCCCAGATTGCGAATCAAGCACCCTAACCACGTGCCCATGCCGGGCCCACAGGAAAGGAAAAAAATTCATAGATTATTCAAAAATTGGAAATTCCACAATATTTTGATCTATAATAAACCATCGACATTCTTGAATCCAAATTCTCTTAATGATTCTAATTCGCCATTTTGTTAGGCCCACATTTTTTTCTAATGTAATCCACGACTTCAATCTATTAATGAAATTATGTAATAATTTCTCTTTAATTGTTAATGATGAAATCACACACCTCAGTTAATTTGGAATTATTGCAACTTTTATAAGAGCATAAATACCAATAATTGTACGATTCACATGTTCTTCCCCGAATTGTTGAACATAACTTAAAAATCATGTTTAATAAAAGTTCATTTGCAATACACCTAAAATACATATACCAATTTTTACCAATCGTGATATTTCAATACACACACAATTCGTTTTTAGTCACATTTATTCACCTTAACCCTAGTAGGTTAGGTAATGTATCATACATAAGTCTCCACTGTATATCCACGTCACGTTTTTCGGCCCGACTTCTATGTATTGTTTTCCATATACTTCTTGGTAATTGAGGATTCAATTGGTCATTCACAAAATTATTTCCTTTTATTTTTACCAAATTGCTGTACAAGGTTTTAGTTTCCTGTTCTGCTATTGGTGATTCTAAACTAGATGTATTAACTTGTTCATTATTAGTTAAATTTTCACTATTGCTAGTTAATCCTATAGGACTAATAATGTGTTTAAACTCTATTGTAATCGCAGTCACTAAACGTTTCAAACGCTATTCATTTTCATCATTCTGTAATTGTAATGGCAAGATTAACCTTATGTTTTCCATCTATTTCTTTCGTTATCTACAATGTCTGGTACTGTTATCACATTATTTATCAGCCACGAAAAATAACAAAATGGATTTCCTGTATTATCTAACAAATAAGAATCAAAGAAGAGAGGCTCTTTAAGAAGTGCTTGAACCGAATAGTTTTGTATGTTCCTTCTTACGTTAACCCTACACCACCTTTTTAAAGCAGAGCTATAAAATATTCCTAACATTCTTCGTAGTTCCATATGATCCATTAAAAGAACTATAAGAAATTCAAAACGTATCAGTTGTTGTATCAATTCCTGCTTTACGGTTTTCTTTGTCTCTGTTATTTCGGTCGTATCAATTCCTGCTTTACGGTTTTCTTTGTCTCTGTTATTTCGGTCGTATCAATTACTGCTTTACGATTTTCTTTGCCTCTGTTATTTCGGTCGTATCAATAACTGCTTTACGGTTTTCGTGGTCTCTGTTATTTTGGTTGTATCAATTACTGCTTTACAGTTTTCTTGGTCTGTTTTATTTCTCACCTTTTATGTAACCGTTCCATTGTCTGCTGTCCCTAGATCAATATGACCAGCTCTATTGGTATCAAATGTTGTCAACTGAGGATCTTCTCGTGCCATGTCTTCATTACTTAAATTAACAATTACTGGTTCTTCATGTTCTTACCAACTCTGTTGGTATCAAATGTTGTCAACTAAGGATCTTCTGGTGCCATGTCTTCGTTACTTAAATTAACAATTACTGGTTCTTCATGTTCTTACCAACTTTGTTGGTATCAAATGTTGTCAACTGAGGATCTTCTGGTGCCATGTCTTCATTACTTAAATTAACAATTACCGGTTCTTCATGTTCTTACCAGCTCTATTGGTATCAAATGTTGTCAACTGAGGATCTTCTGGTGCCATGTCTTCATTACTTAAATTAACAATTACTGGTTCTTCGTGTTCCTTTAACTGAGGGCAATATTTTTACATGCTCATAAGCCTTACAATTAAAACATTGCATCGACATACTATCATAAAATGTGTAATGATAACCTTCTGAAAAATAATTCAATTGACTTGGGATTTTTTTAAATCATTATCTTCAATCAGTTCAATGTACAATCGTCGTTTAAAACTTTCAAAGTGTTTAAACTCTAAATAGATAGATATCTACAATATTTCTACATAAGTAAAATTTCAATCATACAAAAAATAACATTAGAATCAATACTGTGTACCTTTTAAAATTATTTTAATACAAACCTTGAAATTATATTACTCAGTGTGACAAAATTTCAAAATCACATTTTGAGCATCGAATCCATTTTCAGTTCACTTCGAACATCAGAGTATACTAAACAACTGAAGTTATATTTATTCTATGCTACACTGCCGATAATTGGAACGTATTTTCCCATCTCAGGCAATTTTGTGGTTCATATAAATACATGTAAAAACAGAATCACCACTGTAATATTCTCGGGTAGACTAATGACCTTGAGAAGAACAGCATCACTACTGTAATATTCTCAGGTAGACTAATAACCTTGAGGAAAGCGGTATCACCACTGTAGTATTCTCAGGTAGACTAATAACCTTGAGGAGAGCGGTATCACTGCTGTAGTATTTTCAGGTAGACTAATAACCTGAGGAGAGCAGTATCACCACTGTAATATTCTCAGGTAGACTAATGACCTTGAGAAGAACAGCATCACTACTGTAATATTCTCAGGTAGACTAATAACCTTGAGGAAAGCGGTATCACCACTGTAGTATTCTCAGGTAGACTAATAACCTTGAGGAGAGCGGTATCGCTACTGTAGTATTCTCAGGTAAACTAATAACCTTGAAGAGAGTGTTATCACCACTGTAATATTTTCAGATAGACTAATAATCTTGAGAAGA